GAATTCGTTTTTATTTTTAGAATTTTTTTATTGTAACTTTAAGGTTTGTATTTTTATTAGTTTTTATACATTTTTATTTCAGTTTTAGTTTATTTTAGTACTTCATGTTAAACTAAATGAAAAATGAGAAATGTTAATTTGGCAACTAGCTGAAATAAAAAGTTTTTTTTGTTGTTTTATTTCAGTTAATGTTCATTTTATTTGAACTAATTAATGTTTTTTTAATGTTTTTTGTTTTAATTAACTATAATAACCATGATATATGTGTACACACTACTACCTTTGAAAAGTTTTGGTTGGTTTTTGGTTGACTTTTTTACATTTTTGAAAGAAGTCTCTTCTGTTCCCCAACAATGCCTTTTTGATTTAAAAAAAACAGTAATATTGTGAAATATTATCATTTTAAATAACTGTCTTTATAACTGTGTAGTGTATTTCTGTGATGCGCAGCTGTATTTTCAGCATCATTACTCCAGTCTTCAGTGTCACATGATCTTCAGAAATCATTCTAATATGCTGATTTGCTGCTCAAGAAACATTTCTGATTATTATCAATGTTGAAAACAGTTGTGCTGCACAATATTTTTGTGGAAACTGTGGTGCATTTTATTTTTCAGGATTCACAGATGAATGGAAAGTTCAAAAGAACAGCAATTATTTGAATTAGAGATCAGTTTTGGTCAGTTTAATGCATCCCAGCTGAGTTAAAGCATTGCTTTCTCTGGTCTGCAGAGTCGATGATTCTGCTGGGCTCTATTGAGCGCGCTCAGTTGCAGGCGCTCCTCACGCAGCATCTGAGTCGCGAGCGACGGCTGGAGTTCGTACGCGATCGTGCCGATGCCGAGAGAAAGCGTGTGTCTGTGGTCAGCACTCCCAGCAGTGAGGAGGGGGGTCACAAGGTCAACCACGAGGTTCGCTTCCAGGTCAGAGGGCAAACGTTTGCTTGACTCTCTCATCTGACTCTTCATTCTGTGTTTTCTCAGTTTCTGAGACGTGATCTCTGTTTGTGAGTGTAGATCTCCACAGAAGAGTCGTCGTTCACACCGGCCCGTCCCATCTCACCTAAACCTCTCAAACCTGCGCTGAAGAGGACGTCTGCCGCCGAGAAAAACATCGAGATCCCCACAAGTAATATCACACACACACTTTTACTTATCCGTGGAAACACTTCAAAGTAGGGATGTTGCGATATCAAAATCTCGTGGTACGATATCGCGATATAAAGTCCACAATACGATATTTATTGTGATATTTAAAAAAAAGACATATGAAGAATTGGAAAAATAATGAAAGTTAAATTATTGTATCTAATGTACTTTGAGAGTTCAAAATTAAGAGCTGCAACCCATGTTCTTAACTAAGAAAACTTAAGTCAGTCTTAAAAGAACTTTAAAGGGGACTCGACCCTCTTTTTATTTGTGATATAGCATCTCAGTCTAAATTACACTCACACTGGTGTTTGAGGAAGCCTAATAAATTAGAATAGAATAATAATAACAACAACATGGACAGTAATAGCCATATATTGTAAAACGATTGCACTGTAAAATACATGAAAATGAATATTTCATAGGTATATTATTTTTGCTTTACACTACAATAGGGAAATTACAATACTTCTTTCCTAATTTCTACACTTGAAAGAGATATTGTGAATCTGGACTGCATTTAAACCGCTAGCTGTCAGCGATTCATAAACTGCACTTTAAGCTTTTATTTAGAAGGAAACTCCAGCTTCAGTGAAAACATGCTCACAAAAACACGTCTCACTACAAATCTAGAGAAACACTGTAATCATCTGCCGCTGAAATAAAGCATAACTGGTGTCTGTTGTGTTCCCTGATAGCTCTTATTTTATGCCTTTTTACCTCACATCTCATATTATAGTAATCATCCTAAATTAGAAATTTCAAAAGCTTAAACACTCAAAATTCATCCTGTAAAAACCCTTTTGAAATCAGACATTGCGTTACCATGAAAATAGTACTTTAACAGTGTTTTTTTTTCTTTTCTTTTTTTAGTTTTTGCGATATCAACTTCAACTTCGGAACATAACTTAATTAGACATATGGGTTTGATTTTATAGCAATTTTAGTACATTTTTTTTTTATTTCTGTGACTTCAGCAATCTTCTGATTGTCTTCTTTAACAAGAGACAAAACATTCATGAGTTATAACCATTTAAGCTTGGATAGTAATTTGATTATTATTATTTTTATATAAAATATCTATGTAACTGGATTGCACAAAGGTGACATTTTTTCTATTAAAATAATTTTACATTAGAAGGATCTATTATATTATTATATAGTGAGTGAGTGAGTGAGTGAGTGAGTGAGTGAGTGAGTGAGTGAGTGAGTGAGTGAGTGAGTGAGTGAGTGAGTGAGTGAGTGAGTGAGTGAGTGAGTGAGTGAGTGAGTGAGTGAGTGAGTGAGTGAGTGAGTGAGTGTGTGTGTGTGAGAGAGATACTTGTACAGAGAAAAGTGCAACTGCAGGCTGATCTCATCGATTAAATTTAGCATGAGAGAGATGAAGAGGGAGGAAGAGGAACTCTAATCTGTCGACTGCCAAAGCGGCGCTCAGAGATATTGATCAGACGACACAACATACTAGCATTACAAACCATCAACACACACTCGTATATCACACCCAAACAAATTCAGATGTGAAAAGGACAAATAGAATACCGTAAATTCTCTATTCACGGTCTTTTTAGCCTGCAAGTTTCTGGAAAGAGGGTTTTTGTATTCAGGCTTGTCATGTTTCTTATGTAATGTTACTGCAAAGCGCTTCATCTGAGTGTGTGTGTGTGTGTGTGTGTGTGTGTGTGTGTGTGTTAGGAGGATCCAGACGCAGAGGATGACATGACTCTTGGCGAGGTGAGGACACTGCAGCTGCACCTCGACTGATCTGATTCAGCTCGATCGGATTGAAAGTGCTGATGCAGACCTAAAATTATCCGAACAAACTAAGCATTTAAACTTGAATAGGACTATCGTCTCAATCAGATTCAAAGCTATCTTGCTCACATACGCAGTGCAGTGATGCATATGTTTTATTATAAGATCTCTGTTTGCGTGCGCTTTACTTCTTACGAGATGCATATGTTTATTTATGAGTTTCGAACCGGTCAGTGGAGGAATTGCTATATTTACAATGTTTGTAATGAGAAAAATTTAAATGTACAGACACACATAGACACAAATACAGAGTCATTGACGAAGAAATATAAAATTGATAACATTAAAGAATTAAACAAATGCATAAATGACAAGTAAATAAAGTCAAAAAACCGTCTCTGGGTGTGAATGCAGATTGAGGAGTGGGAGGAGCAACAGATGGTGTGCGTGTGTGTGTGTGTGTGCGTGCACGCGTGTGTGTGAGAGAGCGAGAGAGTGTATAAGGTTAGGATCTATGTGAATGTAAGCTCTGTTGAGGTTTTTAATAAAGGGCTCTGCACACACATATGCTGACACTGGATTTATCGTCTGCATTTGCAAACTCACTTGTGGCAAGAGCACAGAAGTGTTCATTAAGACCCGCTCTGCAGTGGTGCACACACACACAAGCTGTGAATGTGTTTAATGCAGTCCAGTCGTCCTTCTCCTACACATTTCTACACTTGCATGCGCACTCATTATATCTCTATCCACACACTCACTGATTGATTTATGTGTTTTGTGTGCATGCATGTGGTCAGAATGTAGCTTAATTTATGCATTTCCCTCTTGCAATGTTACAAAGTGTCATGAAAAACAACACTGAATGTTTTTGGTGCATGAAAGCACTACCATTTATGCATTATTATTATTATTATTATTATAACAAATGTATGTATTATAGGGATGTAACGCTGCACTTATGAACAGCAATGATACAGTGTTTCCTTGGTTACCGCTGTAAACAAAGCAGCGCTGCACTTATGAACTTTAATATGCTTTATACAGAGGCAAGATGAAAAGAGAAAATACCATCTAAACTTTTCTAAAGACAGTAAGTTCCCCTCAGTCATACATTCATATCAACTCCTAACGTTACCCCTAATTGAATCACGATTTGTTTGGCATCTCAACCGATTTGAATCATCACATAATTAAATCGATTTTCAACCGGCTCACTGTTAATCGTTACATCCCTAATGTATTATACTACTTATTTATTTGTTTGCACGATGACTGTCTTGTCTCTCTGACAGACTCACACCATCTTCTCTCTGCTGGGTTTGGATCACGCTTACGTCACCAGCATCGGGAGACTTATAGGAGTAGTTTCACTGAGAGAGGTGAGAGATTCCTGTGATGCGCAGCTGTATTTTCAGCATCATTACTCCAGTCTTCAGTGTCACATGATCTTCAGAAATCATTCTAATATGCTGATTTGCTGCTCAAGAAACATTTCTGATTATTATCAATGTTGAAAACAGATGTGCTGCCCAATATTTTCATGGTTTTCGTGATGCATTTTATTTTTCAGGATTCACAGATGAATCGAAAGTTCAAAAGAGCAACATTTATTTGCAATAGAAATCTTTTGTAACATTATAAACGTCTCTTCTGATCAGTTTAATGTGTCTGTTAATTGTTAATCGTCTGTGTTGCAGCTGCGTAAAGCCATCGAGGGCTCGATGACGGTGAAGGGTGTGAAGGTTCGTCCGCCGCTGGCGAGTTTCAGAGACAGTGGCACCAGCGGCACCAGTAGCGAAAGCGAAGCCACTGAACTCCACAAACTGTGGGATCGTCACACCAGCCTCAGCATTCCCCGAGAACACCAGCCCAATGCCTCCGACTCGGACGATAAGTCGCAGTGACCCACAGCCGACGCTCGCATCCAAAAACCCTCCCGTCTTCCCACACTTATCCTCTTTCCCTTCTGGAGAATCAGGGACTATCTGGACTCTGTGGAGGCTCCTCCAGTGTGCGTATGTGTGCGTTTATATGTGTGTCTGTTGCAGAAAGAGACAGATCATTTCATCTTTGACGTTACCTACCATTCCCTTTTTCACTTTTTAAGAAATGTGATGCACAAGCTCTGTTTGAACGCTTCATCTGGTGTCTCGTGGTTTTTACATTGGGGAATTTATATCTCACTGTTTTTTTTCTTGCAGTTCTTTTTTCTCGCACTTATGACTTTGTCTTTTCTTCTCGCAATGGACTTTTTTCTTGCTATTCTGAACAATTCTCGCAATGATGATTTTTTTTTCTCGCAGTTATGACTTTTTTCTTGTAATTGGCCTTTTCTCGTTATTTTGACTTTTCTCACTAGTCTTTTTTTCTCGCAATTATGACTTCTCGTAATTGAGTTTTCCTCTTGCATTGCAATTCTGATTTATTTCCTCGCAATAATGCATTTTTTCTCGTGATTTACTTTTTCTAGCTCTTTTGACTTTTCTCGCTAATCTTTATCTCATAATTATCTTTTTTTTTTCTCGCAATTTACTTTTCTCTTAGTTACAACTATTCTCGCAATTATAACTTTTTCTCACAATTATGACTTCTTGCAATTAGGATTTTCTCACAATTTAATTTTTTCGCAATTATGACTTTTCTCACAGTAGACTTTTTTCGGAATTACGAGTTTTCTTTTTGCAATTGACTTTTTTTTTGCATGCATGACTTTTTTTCTCCCAATTGTGACTTTTTTGCAAGTATGAATTTTCTTCGTTGACTTTTTTCACAATTATGACTTTTCTTCTCGCAAATTACTTTTTTTCTCACAATTATGACTTTTCCGTAATTGATTTTTTTTCGCAGTTATGACTTCTCACAATTATGACTTTTTTCGCAATTATGACACTTCTTCTCGCAATTGACTTTTTTTCGCAATCATGACTTTTTTTGCAATTATGACTTTTTTCGCAGTTATGACTTTTTATTCGCAATTAACTTCTTGCAATTATGACTTTTTCCTGCAATTGACTTTTTTTCTCACAATTATGACTTTTCCGTAATTAGTTTTTTTTGCCGAAATTGACTTCTCGCAATTGACTTTTTTCTTCACAATTATGACTTTTCTGTAATCTTTTTTTTATTTATTTATTTTTATTATGACACTTCTCACAACTGACTTTCTTTCCCACAAGTATGACTTTTCTTCTTACAATTATGGCTTTTTTCGCAATTATGACACTTCTCACAATTTACTTTTTTCGCAATCATTACTTTTTTTTCGCAAGTATGACTTTTATTCTTGCAACTATGACTTTTTTCGCAGTTATGACTTTTTATTTGCAATTGACTTCTTGCAATTATGACACTTTCTCGCAATTTACTTTTTTTCTTGCAATCCTGACTTTATTTCTCGCAATTCTGCTTTTTTCCCCTCACAATTCTTTACCTTTCATTCCCTGTTTCAGAGCTCTTCCTCTGTGTTTTTACGTGTGGGCATTAGATTTTCCTCTATATAAAGCGGATCTGTAGGCGGACGCAGTAGGTGGCAGAGAGAACAGAGCGATGGAGAGAATGAGACGGAGTGGGAGTGATTTTCTTTTTACCGCAGTGGTTTTTTTTCTAAACTCTTTCAGATTTTTTTTTTTTGCTCTTGCAGAATCTCCAACATGAGATTCAGACGCCGTTTGAAGCCAAACCACTCGTATGTTATCTGGTCAATGTCAGACGAAGCGAATCTCACCCACGCAGACTCTTATGTAAGGATGTGCACTTTTTACTGCTTTCTCTATTGGACATGACACTAACGTGCCTTTTTGAACGATTTGGCACATTTATTTTTTGCATGTTTGCACTGAGGACGGTGAAATCAATCACAGTCAGCATTCAGCACAGCAACAACATCTGAATTGACAATAGTCAAATTATGAACAAATGAATGGTGAGGCTTAGAGGTTTTGGAGAATTTAAACATGTTTGCTTTGAAGTAACCACTCATTTTTATATATATATTTTGGGAAATCAAAGGTCAGTCCTTCCCACTGGTTTCCATTGATCGAGGAGAATGTGATGCCCTTTTTGATCGGTTTAGCACTTGGGCATAAAGCTGCAGGAAAACGCACACATCCGACAGTAAAATCTCTCTTTCTGTCTCTTTCTTTCTCTCTGTTGTTGGATCTTTGGCAGGAACTTTGTGTTTTTAAAAAATGTCTATGATGAATTTCACAAAACTTGTCGAGAACTCATCCAGCTCGTATTTAAAACCATTTATTTTGAGCCATTTGAACATTCTTTTTTTTTTTTTTTTTTTTTTCTTTGTGCCTTTTTGCCAGGTTTTTTTTTTTTTTTGTGCAGGTCACATTTCCCCCCAAAATAAGAATTTTGTGTTAATAATTTTTTTTTTTTTTTTTTTTTTTTTGCATTGTGAATTTTTTTTTTTCAAGTTTCATATTTTTCCTCTAAATTCTTATTACTACAATGTGTTTGGATGTTTTACTTATGTATATATTTTTTATATTTTGTAGTTTTTTGTTATGCTCAATGATTATTTTCATTTGAATTCTCATTAGTAAAAAAAAACTATTTATTTATAGAATTTAAACACCACGTTTGTAGTTGTAGTAGCTGTTTTGTTTTTTGTAATGAGATTGCAAATGAAAATCATCATTGAGAATAATGGAAAATACAAAAATAACACAGCTATTGTATATAAATAATTTGTTTATCAATATAATTTTAATGTAAAAATATAGTTAATGGTCCTAAAGTGGGATGCATTTTCTTCAGACTAAATATTATTTTTTCTCTACTTTGATGATTATGATTTTCATTTAAATTCTTATTGTACAAGTATTTATAAGTATTTAAGCACCATAGTAGTGTATATATATATATATATAATTTGTAATGATAATTGAAATGAATACAAAAACAAAAGTAGATCAAAAGTAACAAATACAACTACGTTGTATAAATACATAATTTGAGTATATCAATATTTTTTATGAAAATTGTCTTAGTGGTCCATAAAGTAGGATACATTTTCTTTAGGTAAAATATAATTTCTTATTTCCCTGTGTTGTTGATGATTATGATTTTCATCTAAATTTTCTAAAAAAAAAATATTTATACATCATAATAGTATTGTACCTTTTTGGTGTACTTTGTTTTATTATGATTATTAATTGTATTATGATTATTAATATTATTATGTAATGAGATTTTAAATGAAAATCATTATTGAGAATAACGAAACTTCAAAAATAACAAATGCAACCATACATACTTAAATAAATACTAATCATTTTTGGTCCTGGGTTGCATTTTCTTTAGGCTAAATATGATTTCTTATTTCTCTCTTTTGATTTTATGGTGAAATATTGACGCAGTCGTGGTCTTCTTGACAGGTTTTGTGAGATTCATCTGCAAACATATTCATGCATTTCCACGAACAACAGCCGAACAGAACAAAAGTTAAATCTGAGAGTATTTTATTCACTGTTGTAAATGTTTGTTGTGATTTTAGAAATATTTCGTTTCATCAGCTGATCGTTTTAATTGGAACTGAAATTAATGTATTTAATTCTGATTCTTAACTGACGAATTTGACCAATAAGCTTTAATCTGTTCGCTGGTGGAGAAGAGGCTTATTTTTGTTGATTCATGTAGATTTACAGATTTTAATGTATTTAAAATATCATATTAACTTAAATATTTTCTTCTTTTTGCCATTTGTATGTTCTTGTATTTGTACTTCCATTTAATGCAAGTCATTTTTGACTTCTTCAGACAATATCTCTGTTTAGGAATATGTGATGCTTTTTCTTCTCTCGTCTTGAAACGTTGACCGAACGTTGTGGAAACGTTTTAATTGCATCTCAGAGAATGTTTTGTGTTTTGTGTCCAAAAATGGTGCCAGTATCATCTCTGAAATGATTTTATTAATACTGTAAGATACACTCTGAACGGACCAAAAGAGCAAAATCATGACTGCTTTATTAAATATGTTGTGGTCCATTTCATTTCATGTATTAGAATGTTGTTCTGAGAATCATATTTATTAACAATCTTACATGTGATCAACGAAGTAGATCAACCGTGATTTTATTTTTTATATTATTATTGTTGTTTTCGGTCATTGGAGGATAATGTATTTGTGCAATAACTTTTTGTTTGTTTGTTTTTAACCAGAATTAAAACTATCTATGACTTTATGTGGAGATTATTTTAAAGAAAATGTCTTGTTTTACAGTATAAATATATAAACATTCTTAAATCAAGATGCATTCTTGAGAAGCAAAAGATAAGATAAGGCTTGTTTTCTGAAAAATGTATGCTTAAAACAAGATTGCTAATGTGGTCAGAAAAATAAACTTAATTCAAATGGAAAACAAGATTATTTTTCTTACCCAGTTGGAAAATATTTTTATTTTGATTATAATTTTTTTAAAGTAAATGTGTCTTGATTTAAACATCATAATGCATTTATTCAATTTGAATGCTATTTCACATTCTGGACCAAAAGAATAAAACAGTCACAACTTAATATTTTTCTACTAAACCATATTGCGTCTGATCAGCAGCTTCTCATTGAGTAAATGTGGAAAAAAATGACGCAAAATGTCTATATATTTTTGTTGATATTGATATGAATTTTTATGTGAATATATCATTGTATAACATTTTTAAGAACAAATAAGCAGGCAATTACTGTATGATGGAATTTAATTCTCACGATTGCTCAAAAACCGTCCAAATTTATGAAACCTACAAATTTATTTCTAACAAAACAACGCAAGTTTTCAAACATTATAAATTCATTTTACTTGCCTAAATTTTCACTTTCAGATGAAAAAGTGATCAGTTTTTCATGCTGCAGTGGTCAGATCTCACAAGCAAAGTGTGTGAGATCTGGAAAAAAGGCTAAATATATTTTACAAACGTTTTTTGACTAATATAATGCTCCGGTTACTCGCGTAACCTCGGTTCCCTGAGATAAGGGAACGAGCGTTGCATCGTCTTTTGACGACTTGTATGGCGAAACCCCTGTTTACTCTGTTACTGAAGCCTGATTTGTTAACGTTTGTGTAGTCTTGGCGTAATCTTCGATGACCAGCTGACCTTCAAAGACCACACTGCAAAGACCGCTCGATCTTGCAGGTTTGCATTGCACAACATCAGAAAGATCAGGCCCTTTCTAACGGAGCATGCTGCACAACTTCTTGTCCAGGCCCTTGTCATCTCTAGGCTGGACTACTGCAATACTCTTCTGGCTGGACTTCCATCAA